AAAGTTGTAGTGGTTTATTCGAAATGGGCATCACTCACTGACAAACGTCTTAGCTTTATTGCAGAAAACCCCTTCCCCCCATTTTCTCCCTCGCGATCCCTTTTCCTCCTATTTGTAGTAGATCCTTGATCCAGGCCTCTCCTTTTCGCTGGTCTCATGGGAATCATGACAACTACTATGACAGACGACTTCGGACTAGGTGCGTTCTACATGGTCGTCAAAGAGACGAGTTCGTAGCTTGGTGCGGCGAATGGCAAAACTCACTGATGATGCCGACTACGATGCCGGCGAAACGTTCGAGAATGTATCAAGTCCATTGTCAGATGTTGGGAATCATGACAACTAATATGGCAGACGACTTCGGACTAGGTGCGTTCTACATGGTCTCCCTGAAAACAAGGCAAGTTGCGACAACGAGGTCAACCCACTTCTATCAATCGAAAGGAGACTGCGACCACACTAGAGGCCACATCTTGGTCTTCATATATTCAAAAGACCTTTAGTCACCCTAGGTCGATTAATCGGCTTGACTGTTAGATAAGTTAACCACCATAAGGTGAATAGGCCTCACGAGGTCAATGAGTTTCACTTAGCATTCCTTCTCCGAGGAATGATTTTTTGTAAACAAATTAATTGACATACTGAAGCGTATCTAAATCATTGCAAGAAAAATGTCTATTAGTCTCTCATCACATTAACCGAGCTAGAGTGCTTATACAATGATCAATGATAGTTTCTAACAGCTACTTATTACGCATATATATATATATATATATAATGATTCAGCTGGTTCTTTTTTATATTGATCTAAGTGTCTGTATGCGAGTAAGAAAACCAGAATAGAGTAGTACTAGCAGCAGTAAAAATAGTAAAAATAATTACCATATAGCCTGTAGTATTGGGCCATCAGGATTTAACGAACCAAAGAGGAAACATGAATAAGATTGCGAAATCTAGCAAACCCGGCTAAGTTAATGGGTTAAGAGAACCGTTGAAAAAATGTAAACGTAGTAAGGTAAGCTGTCCATTCACCACTTTATTTTGGGTGGCTCAATACCCTCTCTTTCTCTATACGTCTATCAAGTAGTAGTAATAATATTTAGTCGACTTCTGTCCGTTCAACGTATTAACTAATCTAATAATTTCAATCACTAATTTTAAATGGATTTTGCTAGCAAAATCAAACTGCATACTGATGTGCCTGAGATCATTCTATCTCGTGTCATGTGTTCAGCCACCAATAGACAAAGTTGTTTTTAAAAACATTTTTATGCTTAGATAATCTTTAATGAAAGGAGAAAGATCAAACAAACATAATGGCGACAACATAAGCAGACAATCGTTCAACAGCCAGAGCTTGATAATAATTTATCTCATTAAAAGAGGATATTTATGTCAGGGTTTCTTTAAAGCACCCCCGCCCCACATTTCTTCACTATTTCGTTTATCGTCTTAGAAAGAAGGAATGATGGTAAGATAAGGATATGAAAAAGGATCTTAGCTCGCCAAATAGTCTCTGTATAAAAATTAATTCCTATTTAAGAGATACTCCTTTTCATTAAGCCTAATGGATAATTGTGGCCCAGAAATAATTGTTTCATACTTATTGCTCAGTCAAATGATTTCTATCAGTAGGCCTCATCCTCATAACAACCATT